CATAAATCCTTCTTCTAAACCCTACACCCCACAGCTACCCATGCAAATCAAATCGATGCCCTGACAAATGAAAGTGAAAACGCTGAGCACACTTTTCCACCATTCACGATGACTGTCTGTCTGTCTGCCACATGTCTGTCTTGGCGAGAACGTAAAGATTGTCATTCCATTGTCATTTTCAAAACCAACAAACTGTAGCTAAACAAGTGAGGTAGAGGAGTTGCCGAAGCACCCGAGAATTTACAAACTGTCACATGCGAAGAGAACCTCTGAAGACATGTGACTGAAGATGGAGTTGGGGATGGGGCTGGGACAGGGATTGGAGGTGCTCAGTCGGATGGATCTACAAGTCAAATGTGCATTAAATGTGTCATTCTGCGAGGCAACCAACTAAGCAGATCGGGGGATCGGTGGGGGATCTGAAGCCGGAGTTGGAGCTGTTCTATGGTCGGTTGATCGGTCGGTTGCCTGGGCTGAGGTTATATGGAGCTGGGCCACATTGCCTCAGCTCCGATGATGATGATGATGAATCAACAGCCGGCAAGGGGCAACAATGGCAACTCTTCAAGCTTGGACAAACATTTCACGCATCAGGCACTTTATTATGTAGAAATAAAAAAACACACAGAAAACACAACATCAGCAGCCGTCAGAGGAATAAAGGCAAATGCGAATACCAAAAACTTCATGAATGGGGCAAATAGCAAATGGCAAATCATAGAATAGGAACAGCTACAGGGCTTTAGAGCTATAACCATGGCGATTTTCGCAAATCTAAATTTAGTGAACAATGGCGAGAGACTGGAAATGATTTTCACCGCAGCTCCGGAGGTAAATAAACTTGATTTCTCTCTCTTCTTCGACTTGGGTTTCATTAAGGGTTCGTTCGTTTTGTCGGCATAATGACATCATGCGAGTGTAAAACAAAAAACAAATCAAATTTGAAAAGAGATATATGGCGAGAGAGCAGAACAATGACTGAAGAAGCAGCACAGGGGCAAAAAAAAAATATAAAAAATTAAAAATCAGCAAAAACAAAAAAACAACCAAAAAAAGGCAGCGGCAATTTTGCGTGCAAATATCTAAGATACACTAGCCTAGATACGCTCTCAACCAAAACATCGAAAGACCCTGGTCATGATGGGGTCTCTAGTCTATAGTCCGTCGAACAATCATGCAGCTCACATATGTATCCGTATCTGTATCTGTATCTGTATCTGCGGCTATTGTATCTGTGATTCAGTTTCGACCGCTGACTAAGCGTTAGATGCGCGTACCGAAAGCCGATCGAAATATAGTACACAGTTTCGGTATGAGTGCCGAATAACAACACCCGACTTGTGCATAAATTCCAGCTGTGTTAAAGTGCAGCACCGTAAATCATTCAACTACTGTAGTAAACCCTCGCCCCCTCGCTCTCCCCCTCTTTAGGGGGCATCTTGGCTGCGATGATGAAACTTTGAAGCATTTTCAGCTTTTTTGCGCTTCGCTGATTCCGCTTGTAGGTGTTGCACAGTAGAAGGTATAGAGGGGGAGATGATCGGGGGTGCCTAGGCTAGTGGGAGGGTCAAATTAAATGAAGAATACAGAGGGAAAAATGAGAAAAGACGCAGTTCGTTGGCCATAGCAAAAGTGAAGCGTGTTCATGACACTGTTTTCATTATTATTCGGCTGTTGGAAGATTTGGAAACTCGTTTGCCAAAGGCATGAACTCGATTCTTAATGTGTGTAATTAAGGGGTTATATACAGTTGTGATAGTCGAAAAAATCGATTTTTTTTTTATTGCATATTCTTAAAGTATATACTGTTGAGAATACTCTCACAAAAATGCATAACGATCGGGGCATTAGAACCGAAGTTGTAGCTATTTATAGCGCACAACCTGCACGTCGGCCGGAACAAACTTGAAACTTTAAACGCGATTATCTCAGAATCGTTTTTTTTCGAAGTTACCTTTCCCGTGGACACGATTACTAAAAAACTATTAATCCGATCGACACCAAATTTTGACCACTTATTTATTATCTCAAAAACTAGTCCGTGAACGAAGGATTTTCAATTTTTTTGAAAACTTCCTTTTGTAGAGCATAAAAACCGATAATTTTACCATTTAAAAAGGACATTTTTTGTTAAAATCGTCGCCATTTTTTTTTAAATCAAAATTTTTACAAATCCTTCGTTCACGGACTAGACAATTCAATATACTAACGAAATTTTTTTTAATTTTTGATTTCTGATGAACCGTTCTCGGGATATGATGTCCACCGCAAGTCACTATCGGAAAAAGAGGGTATTTGAATTCGGCCATAACTTTTTTATTAGTTAATATTTTTTTATAAAAAAAATTTAAATAATTACCCAGAAAGATGTACTAAACAACGCCGGTAAAACATTTTAAATAAATATTCTTTATGGTGTCAAAAAAAAATCGAAAAAACTTCATATTTTTGCGCGGTACAACTGTATATAACCCCTTAATCATAATTTGTTTTTAGTTTTAATGAGTGACTTTTAAGGCCTGTCCGTGAAGGTTTTAAGCCCTCAATAACGATGGCACACCTGGATGCCATAAAAGCAAACGCACTCATCTGCATAATTGGCCTCTATCGAAGGAGTATCGAAGGAGTTGAGTGCCAGGAGCCGGGTTAAGAGTGTCAACGAGTCACGCACTCGGCAACCTTTAAGCCTCGATCCCATTTCCCATCCCGTATATAGAGAATTCCCGCCGGGTCAATCCATTTTTCACACAGTCGTCCACAAACTAGCCGTAACTTTCGTATGCAAATACGATCGGCAGGGGAAAATCATCAATAATATGCAAATGCAGCAAATTAATGACTGACAAAAAGACAATCGAAACGAATTAAGAAAAGCCAGACCAACCTCTGAGCAGCCACAAACGATCCGAACTGATCCGATCCGAGTCGCATAATTTGCGTAGATGCGGGCCTGCGCAGGAACAACTAGCCGACTAGCCGAGACGAGGCTCCGGTGGAGGGGGCCCCCAGCCGGTGGCTTTATCCACAAGATTGGAATAATAATAACAACGATGACAACAGGGGCTGCCTCTGCAGCAACAAAACAAATGATTGAATCAAATTGACGACCAGAACCTAGCCACCGAAGCCATCGTTATGAGCTACATGTGTCCGGCCACACTCTGACATTGAAGGGAGATTGGGTTTTCTTTAAGATTTTGAAGATATATTTAAAGAGTATTTTTAATGATTAGAAATAAATGTTCTAAAAGAGGAAGAATGAATCTTTAGATGAGATAAAGATATACTTTATAGAGTTGTAAAAAATTAGAATAGATTTTGCAAGATTTTAATACACTAAAATAGCTGATGTTTTTAAAGTTCCGAAATAGAAAGAGTATTCAAAACTCTTCAAATATTTCAAATAAACGTTTAGGTTTGACTTGGCCAGCGAATTGATTGTTTCATTAGCCGCACACACGTCTGCAGCTGGGATATGTAAATGATTAAACATTTATGGTCATAATGTGTCAAAGACCATAAATTCAATTAATTTATTATAATGGCAGGAGTGGGCCTGGTCCCCGGCAAGTGCAGACGACGCCGTGCTGGGGGTCAGTTTTGATTAATCATACGAATGCGTAGTGCTCACTACATCATCTTGACACTGCAGCTCCGGCGTAGAGCCTGGCTGGTTGGCTGGCTGGCTGCTGTGTTCCAATTTGTACGGCGACGCATTAAACAAATGTATCTCAATCTCAAGCTGTGCCCCGGCGTCGACGACTCGCCATGCATATAGTAGCCCCGCAATCGCACGCACTCCCGTGTCCCCGCCTAATATGTAAACAATTTAAATAGATATTTAGATATGCTGCCTACGCTGGCGCCAGGCTCAGGCAGACGAGCGCTCACGAGCTGTCTCGCTATTTGTTTTAAATTTTAATTTCCGTTTCAATTTCACATAAATAAATTAAAATCACAAAATATAACTCAGATAAGATCGCTCTCCAGGGGTTGGGGATGCATTCGCGGCCATAAACCACGGAGCCGACAGAATGTATCTGTATCTGTATATATATCTGTGTGCAAATGAATTGTTTAAATTGGCTCTCGATTTGGATTTGAATTTAGTTATGGCTCTGCGATCTGCTCTTGATTTAGATTCTTGTGCCGGATGCACTAAACACATGCCAAATAACTGTTCATCATTTGGCCAAATCGGTGCGGAGGATGTGCCGTAAATAAAACTGATCGCTTAATGAGCCCCAATATCCCCATATCCATCTCAGATCAATTGCCGTTTATCACCGTCCATTATCGAGGTGTAATTTTTGGTAGATTGTGTGTAGGAATGCTGAACGATTTTGTTCATTCATTGAGTGAATCAAGTGAATTAATTCCTTTTCTTATAGTTTATGAGAGGCCATCAATACTCTTTATCACTTGGAGAGCTGCCTTATCAGTTTGCCAAACCTATTTCTCGCACCAGAACTATGTTTTAAAGATAAGATTCGCAATTTATACAAAGTATAGGTTTCCGAGAATTTTATAGAATTAAAGATAGTAATTCTGTTGAGGAATTTAGCTCAGCCAAGCCATTGATAGGACTTTGAAAATTATAATCTTTTTATGTGCTTTCAACCTTTTTAAACTGCGCATAAGTTGATAAGGAATAACTTGAATGTACTACCTACAAACAATCTAAGCAATAAACCAAATACAATTTAAGGAAGTTCTTTCTATAGTTAGTTAGTAACTAAATATTGGTAAAAATGCTTTAATAATGCAGATATATTTTTATATTTAGAGCTCATAATAATTTTTGTAGCATTAAAGTCTCAATTTAAACATAATAAATTGAGTTATGTGAAACCTAAGGTAAATACTTTCATATTTCATATAAACCCTATACAAAAAATGTCAAAATAAGAAGACCCTTTCAATCAGTGACCCTTTGACCCTCTCAGTTCCAAATTAACTTAAATTATATGCAAAAAAAAAAAGGTGTATCTTTAGCTTACCGTTGTGCGTGGCTGGGTGGAAGTGGCTCTTATCACTGCTCGCCGACGACGTCCCATAATCCATGGACAGGCGGCTATTTACGCTGCTGTTGTTGCTGCTGGAGAGCGGCGCTGCTTGGGCGGATGACTCGGGCGGGAAGGCGGTGGCCACCTGGTGGTCCGATCCACAGACCGAGGCGGTGGTGGCCGACTCAAAGGAATGGCCATGCACAATGTCCTCATTTGGTTTCTCGCATTCTGAATAAAAAAAGGTTGATGGGAAAGGGCAAATAATAGAATTAGTTGCCTAAAAATACTAAACATGTTTACTTGCGAACTAAGAGCTTGGCAAACTCAATAAATTATAAAGAATATAAGAAAAAACGAAATGCAAAATCTATTTATTTTTATTGCTTCACACCTATTTCGTTACACAGAGATTACTGTATTTGCTGGGCAATAAAGAAATGGAAGATAAATTTATCTATATGTGGAGTTAATATTATTCATGTATCTAAAGATTCCGGTAACTTGTGTTTACTGAACTTGTGTTTACTTAAAAAGCCGACGGACTTTACTAGAGGATTATTATATTAATTTTAGTTGTATATTTCCAATTCTTAATTTTGTTTTTCAAGTGTATTTACCAATTTCCACCTCGACGACAAATCAAATTTAACCGTTGGCCAGACAGGACAAAAATAAGGAGTCAAGGCTATGTTCAACAGGTCAGAAAACCCGTTCACATTGCCACCCAAAACCCCACTAAAAATACATAATACAGCAACGCCATTCCCAAGGCTTGCCTTCTCCCTCTCTGACTTTGTTAGACAGGCTTCCGTTTGGGGTTTGCTTTTGGACAGGTAAATTTTGTTACTGGCGCCACTGGAGTTATTGCTGGTGACTTACTCTCCCTGTCTTTGCCATTATGCAGCTCACGTACTCACCTTTCTGCAGGATGTCCAGGTGCTCCCACAGAATGTCGCCGGTGAAGGGCGGCGTGATGGCCAGGAACTTTTCCTTGCCCAAATCGACCATGGCACGGCCCTTCATCTTGTAGAAGGGGTCCAGGTTCATGGAGACCAGTGAGAACTCATTTTTGGCCCAATTGAACCAGTAGATGACGTGCTCCTCCGTCCACTCACGGGGATCTGCATGGGAATCAGTATTTGGGGGTGTGTTAAGCGTAAGTGACGATTGAAATATAAATATAAATATAAATATAAATATAAATAGAGATGGAAATTAATCGTTTTCTAATGTCTCTCGGCTCTGCGGCGACTTAATTAGGCGTGGGAGCGCGAGTGCGGCTTGTTATTGCTGTGGGAAACTATTAATATTCATTATTGGTCTGAGGCCGGAACTCCAATTGATAGTTCACGGTTAGTTAGGACATTTATTATCTCGAAGGGTATTGTTAGGGAGAAGAAAGCTTTGAAATCGAGAATTTAAAAGTTCAAAGGTCATTATTCCACTTAAAGTTCTTCAAGCTTTAATCAAATTCTGTATAGTAAGCCACCATAATGAATTATGATCGTTATCAGTTGGTTTTTTTAAGAATTGGGCGCGTAGTCATAGAATATTTCTTTGAGATACTTTTAATAATGGTAATTTCCTTATTTCTGTTTTATATCCACATATTTGCACATACCTTTGGTTATGTTGTACTTTTGCACCTCCTTTTCCCAGGAGGCAAAGGAGGCCTTGAGCACCTCGTTGACCTTGCGATTGGTGCCGGGCGTGAGGGGTGGCAAGGCGGTGGGTACATCTGAAAGACACAAAACAAACCAAAAGATACATTAAAAATCCGATTAAAAATATAAAGAATATAAAAAGTAAAAGATTCTTGTGCGGATTGGTTATAAAAGCTAAAGCGCTGCACCTTTGAGCTTGCTGTGATTGGTGGACAGTTGCTGGAGCTTCTGGGCCTTCAGATGGAACTTGCTGGTGAAACACTGATAGTTGCTATTGTGCAGATAGTTCTGGTGGTTGTAGTTGGCCGATCGCAGCGGCGGCAACATGCGGCTGTCGCTCCAATCGATCCACTCATTGGTCATAATTGAGGGGTTTTCCCAGCGAACTCGTTCGGGGGTTAGAGGTCGTTCACAACACACGCTCACAAGGGGTGGGATCAATTGATTCTAATTGATTGGTGCGGCACAATCTTGACCCGAAGTGTCAGCGAAAGTCGCGAGATACAAGTGTGTATCGGTTTGTATCTCAGCAGCACTACAACAAGAACAACTGGGTGCAATTGTCGCGCCTTAATTGTGGTAATTAAATGTTAATTGCACATATCACAGCGCCACTTGGCCACTTAGCGTTTCCGAACTGGTTTTACACTTCTTGGGATTAAAATTTAAATTAAATTCTTTTTTTTATTTTCTTGCCGAAACAAAACACAAAACGTTCGCGGAACGGAAAGTAAATTTTCGAAATTCGTTCGTCGTTCGTTCTGTGTATCTATCGGATTGCTGGATTTGTGAAGCCAAACTGAAACGAAACGAAACGATCGTATCCGCAGCCGCGCAGCTCGCTGCATATCCTAAGCAGAGAGAGCGACAGAGAGAGAGATGGAGCGCGAGAGCGCAACAAGTGGGAAAGGAACTCGTAAATCTCCAGCAGGCAGGCGGAACGAACTGGAATTCATTCATAAAACGAAACGCGAGCGTGACCAAATTGTGCGTGTGTGTGTTTGTGTTCGCTCTCTCTCTCTTTCTGTGCATCTGTGAATCCGTGTGTTTGGAACGGAAACGGCCATCAGAGCGGCGGCAGCAGCAGCAACAACAAAGACTACATGGCTACAGCTAGTAAAACAACAACGACGCAGCCAGGTTGTTTGTTTAGCCGAGAGAAGGCAAAAGGCAGAGAAAAAAAAACAAAGCACACACGCAAGCAAACACACGACACACGAAAAAATTAAAGCAAAAAAAAGAGCAAACACAAATAAGAGCAAACAGTTTTTTCCTTTTCTTTTTTTTTGGCAACAGGTGACCAAATGCAGGCACATACAGGGTGTAACAGGTGCAAAAAATATTATTAAAAAAAATAGAGGTTTTTTTTAACTTTGCATGGGAAAAACACGGTTGTGCATTAAAATTTGGACTTCAAATTATGACATAATAAGGTGAAAAAGTAGGTTTTATAAAAAACAGCTTAGTTATATAATTTATCAAAAATTACTTTAGGAATTATCAAATTAAGAGTGATTTGTCTTGATATTAGTCGCTTTATAATAATAACAATATCAATCCTAACATTTTGTCCTTAAATAACATTTTTACTTTTTATTACATAAGATCCTAGATAAGGTAAGAATAATTTTAAACATTTTACTTATTTCTCTCCCCTAAATCCTTAAATTCATAAGTTTTTTCTCTTGGATTTTATTTTTTCTTGAATTTTCTTCTTTCCAATTTTTTTCTACACTTCTTGATTCTTTTTTGGTTTTTTATAATTTTTTAACCAGATTGTTGTTGTGCACATATGGCAAATCTACTCAAGTTTCTTCCCCTCACACACACGCACACCCAGGCACTCAAGGAAAAAAGAAGAAGAGGAAAACAGGCAGACAAGCAATTTATGAATGAATTTCTTGTGTTGCCTCACACGCGCATTCGCCTGAAAAGAAACTCCAGACAAATTGACAAACAACAACAACAAAAGCAGTACCGAGAGTGATAAAGAAGACACCGATATTTTGTAGTAAGGGAACACAACAATACCCTCAAGGCAACACGACAACAACAATGATCAGCGAAGACGATGCGACGTCGACGTCGACAGCGGCTGCTTCCGCTGCTTCCGTTCGATGTATCGAACAGCGAGTGCAGGCGATAAGGAGAAAGGGAGATGGGGAGAGATAGTAAGCGAAAGAAGAAGACACAGCCCAAGGTAAAGCAAAATTAGAGGCAGCAACAGAAGAAGGAGAGGATAAGATAAAGCTATTATTATGATGACTACGCGACCAGGTAAATTTATGAATGGAAACGAAACGCAACGTAACGCAACGCAACGAAATGGGAAGCGAAACTATGAATGAATTGGAATTACGTGCTACGTCGACAGCGACGCCGGCAGAGAGATCATTTGGTCATTATCACAAAACCGCATAATTGGCGACAAATGCAGGGGAAACCCTTTGGGCTTCACCTTTATCACCAACAACAACAACACTTCAGTCTGCCTCTTCCTCTGCTACCTGTGCACCAGCACCGGAAAAAATAGCCGGAAGAATTTAATCCACATTTTTGAGATATACTCAAGTGCCCGAATATATTAACTAATAACTATAATTACGTTGGTATCACTTTAGTTGATGGCGAGATAGCTTGTACTTCCTCAAAAATCGAAAGAGAATGAGTATACTACTTCCTTATTTAGTTTTATCAATAAAGACTCGAAATTAATAATAGTTTTAGGTAATAATAATAATTAATTGACATTTTAATTACGTTTGATTTTATCCTGTCAGGATTCTATAAATTAAATTGTGAAGTAAACTTCCTTTAGATAATTTTTTTTTTTTTAATAAAAGTAAATGATTTCATATCATAAAATATAGAACTTTCATTTACTTAAGTTTTTTACTATACATACCAAAAAATAAAATATAAATTGCAACATTTATCGGTAAAGTGCTTTATATCCTCTGGAATTTATGAACCGCCGGGTAAAATGTAATTTAAATTGTAAGATAGCTACTTATCTTTAAAATTAATACAATTATTCCTAAACAAATTCTAGGAACCTTAATATCTGCTACAAAAATCTCAAAGTCGTTTTATTGTGATAACATAACGTTCGAATCGAAATTTAATATTAAATTTGAGTTTAATAAACCGTTAAGCCTATAAAAATACCTATTTTGACAAAATAAAGTATTTGAATTAATGTTAAAATAACAATTTAACAAAATAAATCTTAAACATTCCTTTCTTTATAGGCTACCAAGAGTCTCTCCCATATATTCCTGACAGTGTATTTACTGGTCCCAAGGTGGCCTGCGTGTTAAAGAAATTACTTCTCATAGCCATGGCTATGGGACTATATGACTATGACTATGCCCCTACGAGCCCTGTACGTACATATTTGGCATTGCATACATACATATGTATTATAACAATTATTATGACTTGTAGTCGTAGAAGAAGAAGTCGACGCGAAGCACTTCAAAGCGCAGCACTTACAACTCGAAATTACAAAACGTCTGTGCGTGTTCGAAATTCATTATGCGATCGGGACTGGGACTGGGGAGCACCTTGGCGGACCCGCTGGGCCACACACATTGGTTAGCCGATCCTCTACTGGAGCCACTCTGGCCTAAGCGTTGCGATGCGGTTGGTAATCATATGAGGTGTTCATTGTTCGCTCCTAGTCACTAGTCACTCTGCTTTTTTTGCAGCAGCAGCTCCACTTGGAAATGGGTCAATCACCACCACCACTACTGTCTATCTTCTCTGCTCACGAGATGGGTTGGCTGAGGAGATGGATTCAAAACCAACCAGATTCACGTCATGCTGGCTGGGACTCCTGGGAGGGCTTCTTAATTTATTCGAGTTATGATTAATGCATTCTTGTTATTTCTAATATTTAAACAGAGTGGGTGGCCTTTAATTAAGGAATACTTGCACGATTATCTTGGCGTTACGGAGATAACTCAATTTCGAATGCACAAAATATTGTTTAAAATATAAATTTGCAAGTATTAAGTGGGGTATTTAACTAGAATCAAAATATCTGTATAGCAAATTTTCAGATTTATAAATAAAAATTTTTTTGGAAATACCCAAATTCATATGAACTTCAGTTTCCTTTGTATTGCACAAAAAGAGTTCAATGAAATCTTAATCAAAACCAATAAAGTACCCGGCATTTCTTAAATATACTTTTAATGGCTATTTCTAAACATTTATATAAATCTACTTTCGTTTTTTTCAAAGGAAACTAAAACTAATAAAACCAAATTTCCAAAAACGATTCACAATTTACGTATATAGCCCAGTAACCATTAATCCTTGGGGATTCGACATCCAAAGTTATGCCGGTTTGAAACGATTTTTGAAGCGTAAAACCCTTCCGATCTGGACCAATTACTCAGAACGAACTGCATATTCCCGAGAGGTCACGTAGACCACAACAATACCGGAAAGTAAGCGTGGCCCTACAATCTGGGTACTATTAAGCCTACGCTCCGCTTCGGGTTTATCAGAATCTGCGTCAATAAGTTCCGCCGGGAGATCTTTACGTAGGCTGTGGGTGGGAAAAACGTCTCAAAGAAAACTTGACTTGACTTGTGCCAATATCGGGTTCAGTAAGTAATTGGCGCAATTAGCACACGGCTATCAGACACAATGGCAAAATCTTATCGCAGTTCCAAGAAATCGGGCGGGGACTGCGAAGACTCGTAGAAATTTATTAGTGCAGGTTATTTTTGAACTAATTACGTCTTATCAAGTGTGGCGATGGAGACCTGCCTCCCGATAGGTGAACATCGAACGTTGGATGGTGGAGTCCCACATTCATTCATAAAAATACAGAAATACAGAGTGCCGAGCTAGCACAGTGATCGACGTTTTTCAGCGCCTAAGCGTGAACAATGAAATTCTATTTCCGTTTCCTGTTTTGCTCAGATCGTTATCAAGCGATAACCGGAGAAATTGCAATTTGAATGGAGTGTCTAAGTGTCTGAGTGTCTGATTGTCGAATCGAATCAAAGGCAATTGAAGCGCAATTTCACTGCCACCTATCCTTCCCCCTTCGGTTCAC